TTTTTTTTTTTTTTTTTTTTTTATTATTCTTCTACTCTTGTTTTATTTGCATACAAAACGTGCAAGATAATTCGTAAGTTTTGAGACACATGAGTTTGAACGAATGCAATTGCCAAATTTTTGATTTGATACTAACAAAAATAAATATAAAAATAGAAATAGAGATAAATAGAACAAAAATAGAGAGAGAGAGAGAGAGAGAGAGAGAGAAAGACAGAGAAAGAACTTTAAGAAATTATTTTTTTTTTCTCATCACTTTTTCACACTTAAAAGTGTTCAAAGTTTATACAATTGTTTGTTCAAAGTATTTTCTTTCACTTACATATACTTCTTATATACAAATACAAATATCAATACAAATGCAAATACACGTAACACGTAAAGAAGACGTACACGACGATGTTGTAAATAAATTCGTGCATTTTTGTTTTCTCAACATACTTAAACAAATTTTTCTGTGTCAGCTTTTAAGCGTATCTTAAGCGTAATAATAAGACCTTCATAATCATCACCACCCCCCTCATCCTCCTATTACCGTAGGAAAAAAGAAAATGAAATGAGAGGGGGGAAAGGTAGGGAGAGAAGGAAAGAGTTACGGTAAAATTGTCAGAGTTTAAGTAGAATTGTGCAAATACACAAGACATTCGAATCGTCATCTACGGCCTCGGTCCAAACCTACTTGGTTTCACTTTCACGTCAAATAAGAGAAAGAGAGAAAGAGAGAGAGAGAGAGAATAAAAGAAACAAAAAAAAAAAAAGAGGAAAAGAAAAGGTTTTGCAACCCACGCAAATCCAACATCTCGCGTTGGCACGCGTCGTAACACAAGAAATACAACAAAAAAAAAATAAGGTACGGAATAAAAGTGTTTTTTAAAGAGAAGAAGAAAAGAAAAACGAGAACAAGAGAAATTTGTCCCTTTTCTTTCTCTTTTTTTCGTAATATCCAACTTACCAATCCATCCATTCGACTATTTTTCGTTCATTAAAAGGCACCTTCCCATTTC